TGAAGACGCTGTGTGTTTCGTTGTGAAAGCGAAACTGCTTTGTTTGGCCTTCCAAAAGACGACACGACTACAAATCAGTGGTTAAGTTGCATTTACAACACTGTTCCAGAACAGTTCAACCCAAATATTCAGATGTGTGCAGCGCATTTTGCGGAGGATGAGGACTGTTTCCTTTGAGAGTAGCCTACAATGTCGGTGTCTGTTTCTATAAAGAGGGGCAGTTCCAACTTTGCAAGTACAGTCTGGCGCTTCTGACACACAGCCTGTAAGTAGGTTTTTTTATATTAAAGAATTTGCCACTGATGATTCAAACGCGAGGTTTGAACAGTGTAGAGTAGCACTTGTTGTTTGTCGTTTCTCCAGACATGGTTTTATGTTTACGCAGCGTGATACGCAACGCGTAAAAAGACAGTATAAGTCATTATAATCAGTAATTATGTCCCCACTGGATGCAACAAATGCCTCGTTTATAATGGGTTTTAATGTTTTTGTCTCGTCGCTCCGGCCGGGACAGGGCATCACAGTATGGTAAGGGGCGTAACATTTCCGTCACACGCTTGAGGTATTCAGCCAATCACAACGCACTGGATAGCTGGCCAATCAGAGCACACCTCGCTTTTCAGAACGATGAGCTTTGTAAAAATCGACGCATTTCAGAAAGGCGGGGCATAGAGAAGCAACAATAATGTACATTATGTGGAAAAATAATGTGTTTTTTTAACCTTAAACCGCATAAACATTTCATTATTACACCAAATACACAAAATAATGTTCTTTTTAGCAACGTCATATGACCCCTTTAAAAGAACAGAATTTATTTGAAATATAAGTATTTTGTAACATTAATAATGTCTTTCCTGTCACTTTTGATCAATTTAATGCATCCTTGCTGAATAAAAATATGAATTAAAAATAAAAAAATCATACTGACCCCAAACGTTTGATCAATAGCATATACGGTGGTGCTTGAAAGTTTGTGAACCCTTCAGAATTTTCTATATTTCTGCATAAATATAACCAAAAACATCATCAGATGTTTCACACAAGTCCTGAATGTAGACAAAGAGAAGCCAATCAAACAAATGAGACAAAAATATTTTCTTTCCAATTGAAATTGAAACTGAAAAACAGTTGATAGGAGGAAACCCACAGTCATCACAGAGTTGAAGCGTTCTGTACTGAGGAATGGGCTAAAATTCCTACAAGCCGTTGTGCAGGACTGATATTTCACATACTTTTGCCACTCACAGATCTGTAATATTGGATCATTTTTTTCAATAAATAAATGACAAAGCATATATGTGACCCTGGACCACAAAACCAGTCATAAGGGTCAAATTTTTTTTTTTATTGAGATTTATACATTATTATTATTACAATAAATAAGCTTTCCATTGATGTATGTTTTGTTAGGATAGGACAATATCTAGCTGAGATACAACTATTTGAGAATCTGGAATCTGAGGGTGCAAAAAAATCTAAATATTGAGAAAATCGCCTTTAAATTTGTCCAAATGAAGTCCTTAGCAAAGCATATTACTAATATTCCAAGTCTGACTCACCAGTGATGGTGAGTTGTCAGGACGGTTTTGAGCTTCACACCATGCTTTTTGACCGCATCTACAACCTGAGACAGATGACAATTATGAAACCATGGTATACAGTCTGTAATGTGTGATGTGCACAGTGAAGTATTGTTACTTTCTGAGGCTCTACTGGATCGACTATGGCTGCTTCCTTCGTGTCTTCATCGATGAGGAGGTACATGTAGTTGTCGGTGAGAGCAGGCAGCAGTTCTACCTTCATGTCTGTCTGTTCCACCAGAGATGACTTCCTAAGAGCGGAGTGAAACAAGCCTGTGGGAACTATAAAACAGAGATTCACGATCAGTAAATGTTCCAGCGTGAGTAATAGATTTACATAATTTTAGATTGCATGAAAAACATACCATGGTCACCATAATTTCCACCAAAATACTTCAGTCACATCAATTTTTTGTTACTGTACAACAAATTTTGTATGTTTTTCTAGCTGGTAAAAGCTGGTTATTTATGGTCATAAGTTGGTTAAGTCTACCTTGTTTCAATATTTGGGGAACTGGTTCAGCTCATTATCCATGCTCCAAAAGTGGTTCACCAGTTTTAATATTTTAGCCTGGTATGACCAGAGATAAACGCAATTGAACAAAATGGCAATGGCAAATGACAACTACAATAAGTAACAATTACTGCAGTAAATTTAGTATTTTGGTGGAAACTATTAACATGACATATTTTGGAAAGTTTTGATCTATACTACCGTTAATAAAAAAAAATTGTTTTTAAAATTAGTCTCTTATGCTCACCATGACTGCATTTATTTGATCAAATATGCAGTAAAAATCAGTAATATTGTGAAATATTATTACAATTTCAAATAACTGATGATCTGAGGATACTTAAGATACTATTCAAATATGTTTGAATAAATTCAAACATAAATTTCTTATTATCATCACTGTTGAAAACAGTTGTGCTGCTTAATATTTTTGTGGAAACTGTGGTGGTGATGATTATTTGTTTAAAAATCATCTGCATGCACAATTGTGCCCACTAGTGTGCATTTTAAATCTTAACATCATAAAATGTAGGGATCAATTCATAATCGGCCTAATTGATCTCTGGAAAATACATATCTATTATGCTCAAAGTTTTGATGCTGGGTCATTCTCTCTATATTGCATCTATGCAATACTGTAAACAATAATGCATTATCGCAATACATTTACATTTAGTCATTTGGCAGACGCTTTTATCCAAAGCGACTTACAAATGAGGACAATAAAAGCAGTCAAAACTAGCAAAAGAGCAACAATATATAAGTGCAAATACACGCCTAATAACACCACACAAGTGAGAATTAAGAAATGTTTGATAAATGGTTTTGCGACTTTCAATTGCACAATGCAGGACAAACAGAAAGCATACAGTGTTTACAATTACGTCCCTCCTAACGCGCGACATGTTGCATTCAATATATTATACGATCACTGTAATCGTGCAAGCAACATTGTATGCTCGCTAACGTATGTCAACAGCTAGGATGATGTAACTCGACTCCGTATAAGGAACAACTCTTATACTAAATCATAATCAAAACATTGACTCCAAAGGTTCTGTGACAGCGCTGACGTGGTTACATATCCATAAATAAGCCCTTCTGGTCATGCGCGAGTCGAGATGCTCGTGTAAACATACCGAATTTATGCGAGACAGCTCCGAGAACACCGAGAGTGCAGGCACTCACCGCCAGCGACCTGAACCACATATCAGGACTTCAGCTGTCTGTTATCGCAGTCAGCACAGGGAGGAAGCAGAAAGTCTGGTTTAGCGTGCTAATCAGCCCACTTTTTAACTTTGACCCCTCGTTTAACCAATCCAAATCGGAGGAGTGTCGCGCGTGCTGCCGTAATCCACGCTGTACTTCTTCTTCTTCTTCTTCTTTTTGTTCAATGGCCGTTCACTCCTTAGGAGTATTACCGCCACCTACTGTATATCTTGCGCACATGAGTGATGAATCTGTACTGAAGGAAAAAAAAAAATAAATAAATAAAAAAATAAAAAAATAAAAAAATAAAATAAAATAAAATAAAATAAGCTATGTCCCACGCTGTACTTGACGTCAGGCTTGGCTTTTAAATTATTATTATTATTAATGTTTTTTTTATTTTTTTTATATTATTTTTTTTTATTCCAGATGAATATCATCAATACAGTGAAGTACAAGCTAACTACAGTAAGCGGTAAAACGATTACAAAAATAAAAATTAGAACAAAAGACAAAAATTAAATATTTGTACATATTTTATGATGGATGTCACAAATATATCAATAATACATATTAAGGAAATTCATTTTAAAAGTATTATTAATATTCATAACTCACATATATGATATAAATGTCTCTTTCACATTTCTCACCAGCTTTGACTATTTTTAGTTTGTTTTTCCTAAAAAGGTTTTTGTTGATGGCCTTGCCGAATAACGAAATGGAAAAGTAAATCGAAATAATCTGTATAAATCGATCTTTTATTATTATTATTGTTGTTATTATTATTATTAAACACTTGCTTAGGGAATACAAAAGTGAAAAAACATATGCCAAGGAAAAATAAATAAATAAATAAATAGAAAAAATTAAACATCACATAACAATAAACATAACAATCTTTCCTACAAAACATAAAAATGATACAAAAACACCAAAAAGTGAGCATACATTCAAAGTTTTAGTTGCCTTTTTGTTACAGGAGGTAGACAAGGATTTAATATAGATCTTACTATGTTCTATAAAGTGAGAAAATTGGGAGGTGACTTTCATAGTCTTGCATTTGTGAATAAAATATTTTTACAAGCAAAATAGTTAGGTTGCAAAGAAAGTAAACATTTTCATATTGCTCCTCAAAAGTGAAAAATCCAAACAAAATATCTTTAGAAAAGATCAAAGTCATCATGTTTGAAGTTTACAATGGACTGACAAAAGTCTTGCCAAAGTTTTCTGGTATGAACACAATGCCAAAAAAAGATGCAAGACCGTTTCTGGTTGTGAGTCACAGAAAGTACAGTTCACATCTATACTTAATTTGAATTTTGACACAATAAAGGTTTTATTTACCAGGATAGTACTGATGATTTATAAATCGAGCTTTTGTCATTAATGAGGGCCAACTAGTGGCGTCAGCAAAACGTAATTAATATTCAATAACGCAGCGTTCGCTATAGGGCGGATTTCAAGAACGTTAGCGAGAACTAATTAATATTCATAAGCTAAGCCTTCTCCGTAGTAGGAATCTTAATTTCGCTTTCGGGTCGGTAGTTGTGGTGAACGGCTTCAAATGAATGATGTCTTTTGGACTTAATTCCACACAATCGTTTCAGTTTCTTGTTTGATTTGTTTGCACTATGTAACTAGAGTTACATAATTCGCACTGTACTAACGGGTCTGACCGCCCCTTCGTTGTCGAGCGACCAAAGGTCATTTTATCTCCGGTTGCAGGTGTCGCTGCCTGGTGTTGAACTCCAAAATGAGCGCAAGGAATATTGCCCGCTTTTGGGAATGGGGAAGGAAAATTATATGCGTCGGGAGAAACTATGCAGATCACGCCATCGAGCTCAAAAATGCAATTCCCAGCGAACCTGTGCTTTTCCTGAAGCCCCCGTCTGCTTACGTTAGGGAAGGGTCTCCTATCCTGCTTCCCTTCTACACCAGCAACCTCCACCATGAAGTTGAGCTGGGGGTGGTGATTGGTAAAGGAGGAACTGCTATTCCTCAATCTTCAGCCATGGAGCATGTGGCTGGATATGTGTTATGCCTTGACATGACAGCTCGGGACATTCAGGACGAATGCAAGTCCAAAGGTCTTCCATGGACCCTGGCCAAAGCTTTCAACACCTCATGCCCCATCAGTGACTTTATTCCCAAGGAGAAGATCCCCAACCCGGGGAGCATCAATCTGTGGTTGAAAGTGAACGATATTGTGAAGCAGAATGGAAGCACATCCCAGATGATCTTTTCCATCCCCTATCTCATAAACTACATCAGCGAGATCATCTCTTTGGAAGAAGGTGATCTCATTCTCACTGGGACCCCTAAAGGAGTGTCAAGTGTCCAGGAGCAAGATGAACTTCAAGCTGGGATTGATGGCATTGTGACCATGACGTTTAAAGTTGATCGAAAAAGTTGATTTTAACTAGAATTAAAGACAGTTTGCTGCAAAGCACAACCATTGTGATTGTTGATAATGCAAATACAATGTATGATAACGACACAATGATTTTAGAATCACTAGAATGAGGAACATTGTATGTTTGATCTTTTCTGAAAATAAAAATGTGCATCTGACTACATATTTTGAGGCCATCTTATACCATTCTATTTCTGAAAAATTATCTGAGGTTGATTTGCTTTCTCACTTTCAACTGCTGGTCATGGAAGTTAAAATGTGTAGAATTAACTTTTTATCAGGTCTAAATGCACTTTAATCAGAGCAGCTTTGTTTTTACACATCTCAGATGGTAACATTGACTAGATTATTGACATAATGGTCTACCAGCTACAAGAAGCAACATGAAAACAGCAGCTCAGCCTCACATTATGCAGAAAAATCTGCATGTGGTTGCACTTGTGTCAAATGATGACACCTGAATAACGACGCTGTGCATAGTTTAATCTTGAGGACGTAAGTCTAACATATAATAGTAGGCAAAATGAGTTAATTAGTTATTAGCCATTTTTAATTGTTATATCAGAAAAATCAGATGTGGTTTCACTGGGAGTAAATCAGAGGTCAGCATCAACATGAAATGCTTATAGCTTGTTTTTTCCTTAAATAATTAAACCCCGTTTCCTGTAAAAGGCTAATAAAATACAATATACAAACAGAAATAGAAACATTTCTTATGCAGTCCTGGCATAGGTTGCTTTTATTGACCTCTACATAGAGTATGAATGTACTTTATAGTTTTAAAGTAACACGATGCTCCATTACATATTCATTCACACAAACAATGTATTCATTAATCCCATTTAAAAGAAGATGTTCATGGAGGATTTTAGACTTTGAACTTTACACTCTTGGGTTTCCATTAATATGTAACAGCAGAAAAATCCAGCAGTTTACACGCAGACGAGGTTTAGTGATTGAAATCTCTGCACTTAGCAAACAAACAGTGATCTACAGAAACAGCAGCAGTAGTTTCCAAAATGCTATTGTTCTAAATTTGTTAATACAAACATAATTTCAAGTGGTAAATGTGCTAAACAATATCTAAAAGATTATCTCTGCATGAACAAGTGGGGCTGCAGAAATGATCAAATCAGCATTTGTGATTCTTACATTATCAAGTAACCAAATTAATTACACTTTTGTAACTACTGACCTATAACAGGAAAAGTAAGATCAAATGTAAACTACCATTTAAAGGTTTGGGGTCAATTAAATTATTATTATTTTTTAAAAGAAATTAATAGTCAGCAAGGATGCATTAAATACAAAATATTTCTATTTCAAATAAATACTGTTCTTCTGAACATCAAAGAATACAAAAAAAAAGTATCATAGTATCATAAAAATATTAAGCAGCACAACTGTTTCCAACACTGATAATAATGTTTCTTGAGCAGCAAATCAGCATATCAGAATGATTTCTGAAGGATCATGTGACACTGAAGACTGGAGTAATGATGCTGAAAATTCAGCTTTGCATCACAGGAATAAATTACACTTTAAAATGTATTATAATAGAAAAGTTATTTTAAATTGTAATAATATTTCAAAATAATACTGTTTTTACTGTATTTTTGATATAATAAATGCAGCCTTGGTGAACATAATAATAGACTTCTTTCAAAAACATTAAAACATCTTACTGACCCCAGACTTTTGAACAGTAGTGTATATTGTGCATATTTTAAAAGAACTGCATAGTTGTGTGTGTTGATTGGTTGTAGCAGTTACTGGGAGTACGCTTCTTCATGTTTCCCATGAGGTTGTACACATCATCGCTCTGAATGCTCCTCTGTGGGCTTTTCATCAGAGCCTTTCATACACCATCCACACCGGAAACACATCAGATCTTCTCCATACACTCTTCCTGAAACATCCTCACGTGCTTATCTAGCTCTACTGCTGTTCATTCTTGCCTGTGAAAGAAAGCAAGAGGGTTGTGCAACATGTCAAATGTATTAAAAGACATACAGAAGTAGAAATCAATTGCTTACCTTATGAAATATAGCATAGATCATGTTTACAGCCATTAGTGTAGAAATTCAGATAATTCTGAATTTAAATATTTAATTGAATTGTATCAATTTTATTTTAAAATGTAATATACTTGTATTGTTTGTTGTGCATACCTTTAGGAATGAACTTCATAGAGCTGCTGAATATTCAGAAGCGCGAGAGGCCGTGTTTGGGTCCGTCATTCACAAACTCATGGCCAAGGCCATTTCCACACTTACCACATTTAACCTGTATAAGATGATACAGAATTAATTGTTCACATTCTCCACTTGCTCACCAATGGATCCTCTGCAGTGAATGGGTGCCGTCAGAATGAGAGTCCAAACTGTTGCTAAACGCTAAATTTAACCAAATCTGTTCTGATGAAGAAACAAACTCATCTGCATCTTGGATGGCATGAGAGTGAGTAAATGATCAGCAATTTTTCGTTTTGGGATGAACTATTCCTATAAGCACTTCAAATTCTCAAAAAAGTTTCACCTTATAAGCGCCCCGTCTCTCCTCGTGTTTAGACACACTGTTTTCATGGATGGTTTCTGTGAAGGCTGGCCAGGGTGATGAATGCTCATATTTGGACCTGCTGGAGAACAGCTCATGTCCACATTTGGCACAAACATACATGCCTGCAGGAGAAACACACTGTAAGTCTCAGACAGAATCCCACTGGTGATATAAAATATTCTGGATCTTATTTTAAACAGTTATTCATTTGCCAAAAAGTCATTAGTACTACTATTCAACTACATTCTCTTGACAAATTAAAGTAAACACTGTTGATGAATAAGATTAAACTGATCACTGAGAAGTAAAGATGAAGAAAAGCAACTCCGATTACCATTACCTTTTACTGTAGACTACCATTTTTATGATGCTTTGGCAATATTAAATGCCAAACAATCGTGTCAAAAAGTACTTCTATAATCTGAAGCAAAGGCTAAAAAGATCTTTCTTCTCTTAGCAACAGGAACCATATGTGACAACTTTAAAACAAGACTTCCGCATAGTTTTACTAATCAAATGACACAAGCTACATAATACATGATATTATATAACACACGTCGCCTTGTTTAGGCTAACGTTACATGATATACAGTACATCGGGGTCAACTTACCAGTCTCAAAATGATCTTTATAAAACTCCCCTCCAAAGAACGAACAGAAGGACATGACTACTCCGACTGTGATAAAGTTCAGACGAACGACTGCAACTATCTGAATCAACTGGTGTTTTATAAACTCGGTTTGGATCGGAGTTAAGTTGGAGAAGCGTGTTTGTACCACCACGTGACCACACAATCGCTACTGTACCACACACAGACTGTACTGTACAAGCCTGTCAAACAAGTTATTTTTCAAAATAAGACGTAGTATCATAAATGAGCCCAGATATTATAGCAAAATAATCGTTTCTCAACCATAAGAACCAACCATACAATAAAGCTAAAGTACTGACTGCACCTAGACCATACGTAAAAAAACACACATACATGTCCAGTCTGTGATACATAATTTACATATAAATTACATAACCTTGTAAATAAAATGAATAACTTTTTTTAATGAAGATGAGTATTTGTTGAGATTTATGAAGAGTAGGGAATGCAGATTTAATGGAAAGCCTTGAAATTATCTATTTGTTTATAAATCACTTTTTTTTTTTTTTTTACATATTGTATTTGCATCTGTTTTAGTTTTTAGTTTAGTTTTTAATTTTTGGAATAAAAAAATGCACAGTGATCCAAAGTCACTACATGAGTGCAACGACGACATCTAACGTTATATGCAGAAAAAAATAATTGCATCTATAACCTTTCACCTTCAACCTGGCGATTTACAAACGAAACGAGGAGATAAAATAGTCAGTTTTATACAGATTAAGTGCAGATTTGTTTGATCAAAATTATATAAATAAAATAAAATAAAATAAAAGACATTTTCACTCCGTTTATTTGTCGCCGCTCGGTGACCTTTCTCCCCATGTTGTGTGAAGCGCGCATGCGCTCTGTGGATTACAGCCTGAGGTCGATTAAAGGATTTTTGACATTTCCCTTCTAATTAATGGTCGAAAATGCCGAAAGATCACGATAAAGATGTGTATCCAGAGCCTCCCAGTCGGACCCCAGTGGTGGATAGGCAATCGGTTCTGCCGAATCCAGCTTTAATACTGTCAAAGCTCTTCTACTACACGGTGGATTTGCCAGTGACTACATTCAGAGGTGAAGCGACTCCACACTAGTGAATCTGATACTGTTTACATTTGCTTATTCATCCCGTTTGATATATAGTAGCCTTTGAAGTGTGAAAGGCGAATTATGGACATGCATTTGTTTTTTAACCCTCGTAATTTCTAAATGTTAACACTTTACAGTTCCTGGCCCTAAGAGTCAGTATCTCATCTAAGAGTCTTGAGTCCATGTTGTTTAATATCAAACACAACCGTTTAACACTTATATTATCGGTATGTCATATTATGTTGCATCAATTTTTATGAGTTATGAGTATTGGAAATATTTGTTAAACTATGATGTTTTTTGTGACTTTTTCTTCATTGGTTGGTTGTTGTTTTTTTTTGTAATAGCAATGCATTTTAATTTAGTATCATTTATTGTAATTTCAGAAATGAAGAGATAGTTCACCCAAAAATCTGCTGAAAATTTACTCATGCTCAGACCATCCAAGATTAGTTTGTTTCTTTGTAACAGATTTGGAGAAATGTAGCATAACATCATTAAGTGCAGATTTGTTTTATCAAAATTATATAAATAAAATAAAATAAAATAAAAGACATTTTCACTCCGTTTATTTGTCGCCGCTCGGTGACCTTTCTCGCCATGTTGTGTGAAGCGCGCATGCGCTCTGTGGATTACAGCCTGAGGTCGATTAAAGGATTTTTGACATTTCCCTTCTAATTAATGGTCGAAAATGCCGAAAGATCACGATAAAGATGTGTATTTATTGTAATTTCAGAAATGAAGAGATAGTTCACCCAAAAATCTGCTGAAAATTTACTCATGCTCAGACCATCCAAGATTAGTTTGTTTCTTTGTAACTGATTTGGAGAAATGTAGCATAACATCACCTGCTCACCAATGGATCCTCTGCAGTGAATGGGTGCCGTCAGAATGAGTCCAAACAGCTGCTAAAAACATCACAATAATCCATAAGACTCCAGTCCATTTTATGAAGTGAAAAGCTGTGTTTGTAAGAAACAAAGCCGAGGCATTTTAACTTTAAACCTTAATTTCTAGCGAGTCCATAAAACATAAAAAGTTCATCCACAATTGTTCTTTCACATCAAAATCCACCAACATATTTATTTATAACTGTTTTGCACTGTTTTTTTTCTCATAAACAGTGCTTGATCTGTGCATTTTTCTCTCCTGATTCGAACAAAACAAGTTTTCAACTGGAGAAAGCAATATTATGGACAGAGGACTTTATTTTAGGCAGTTTTAAGTTAAAAAGTCTTAATGATTTATTTTTTTTCTTACAAACATGCAGCTTTTCACTTCACAAGACATTAGCTGATGGACTCGAGTCGTGTGGATTACTTGTGGATTACTGTGATGTTTTTATCAGCTGTTTGGACTCTCATTCTGACGGCACCCATTCACTGCAGAGGATCCATTGGTGAGCAAGTGATGTAACGCTACATTTCTCCAGATCTGTACCGGTGAAAAACAGACTCACCTACATCTTGGATGGCATGAGGGTGAGTAAATTTTCATTTTTCGGTGAACTATTCTTGTAATGACTAAAACAAATGATAACTAAAATCTACTTGGCTTGTAATTCATGATCCTTATTTAATTGCCCTGCTTTTTGATCTACCAGACATTGTCGAAGGCATCCAGAGCGGTAAGAAGTCTCACTACTACCATCAGAAGTTTCGCCGTGTTCCTGAGCTGACTCAGTGCCAGGAAGGAGATTATGTGTGCTATTATGAGGCCGAGATGCAGTGGAGGAGAGACTAGTATGTTGCTTCAAAAAGCCTTGTAGTTCTATATCATTATGCTTTGCATTACATAATAAAGTTCTGTGCACACAATCACTATTTTATTTTTTGTCTGCAGTAAGGTGGATCAGGAGATAGTGAAGGTGATCCAGGAGCGTCTTCGGGCCTGCCAGCAGCGTGAGGGTCCCAGTTATAGACAGAACTGTTATAAAGAATTGCAGCAGTTTGAGCAGGTTTCCAAGGCCTTTCAGTCACGCTGTGAGTATCATGTCTGGTAAAAATCTTTTTCTGTGCAGTTAGCAGTGTCGTTTTAAATCAATGGGATAAGTGCAGTTGTAGTAGATGTTGTCTAAAATGCTTTTCAGTTGACAATGAAACCAAAACTGTTTATATTGTTGTACAGAAATAATTTTCTGGCTGTTACCATCTTTAATTCTTCTAGATGGGGATCTTGGCGCGTACGCCAGCGCACGAAAGTGTTTGATGAAACAGAAGGAGAGAATGATGGCAGAGCAACAGACGGCATAAACCTACAAACCTCTCCTTTGGCTTTTCTATGTCAATCTCTCTTATCTGTGTTATCAGTGTAAAATAAAGTTTATTGGAAAGTGACTTCTCAGTAGCTGTCATTTAATAAAATCCCATCCGTTTTAAAGTGGTTATTACTACAATCCCATATATCACTTTCCTGTGATTACTTCTTTACTATTATTCACATTTGTGCTTTAATTTTATGTCAGTTGTGTTGGTTACGTATGGACATTTCCTACATTTTAAAAACCACATTATAGTTCATTTCATGTATGTGCTGGCTTATATATGCCATTTGCTGCTTTAAAGTCTATAAATCACAATACACTTTTCTGTAAATATAATTTGTCCCAGCCAAGTAAGATTTGGTTTCTAAGGTTGACTGACCTCTTTAATGATCATTGCTTTGTTCTTTTGAACTTTCTCTTCATCAAACAATCCTGAAAAGTAGCACGATTTCCACAAAAATATGACAGCACAACAGTTTGTGATATCGGTGACATCAAATACCAATTTAATAATATATTATAATATTATCAAATCTTTCTTGAGCAGCAAATCAGCATAGATTGATTTCTGAAGGATCATGTTACACTGAATGTGACAATCAAAGCTGTGCTTTGCAGCATTAGACAATATGGGTGCTTGAAACCCCTTCAGCCATAGTCACAAATATAGTAAATCGCCACCTAAACAAAAATCTGAGAAATTTGCCCACTTTTGTTAGGACAATTTTGGGTATGCAAATCAAAAACATCAATCCACAAACCATTTGCTTTCACGTAGCTTTTAAACATTAAAGTCAGACAACAGAGCACAGACTCAAAGACCGTTTTCTTTCTGGACTTTTATTTCAATCTGTTGTACAAAATTTAGGAGGCTGCCGGAAGAGCTCCCTGACTCCTCTGAACAGAGACCCTGGTGTGAGTCTTGGCCAGATGATCAGTGAATTCCTGAAACAGGACAGACACTTTAGTTTCAAGAAAGCAACGATGCATTTGTGAAAAGGAACAATGTGTGAAAATACACATTACCTGGTAAGGAGACTTGGCAAACACTGTTTCCTTCCAGAGATCAGGGGTCAGGTAGCTGTAGGTCTTTGAGATGGCATCGAAGGTGGCCTTGGCTGCAATGAGAAAACAGCAGTTATAATAACGGACATCCTAAAACATGGACAGCTGCATCCCAAAACATTGGCATTCAAATAAAAGTGCCTTACCAAAGTTGCCCAGAGTGGCGGTGCAGCCCCTGGCTGAGGTGTAGCAGTCATCGATACCAGCCATCATCAGCAGTTTCTTGGGCACGGGAGCGGACACAATGCCGGTACCACGGGGAGCAGGAATGAGACGCACCAGAACCGAACCACAGCGACCGGTCACCTGAGTGGATACACGTTCAGCCATTAAAAACTTGTCCAAACAAAGTCAAACTGTGCGCAAAACCACGTTTGAAGACTCACTTTGCATGGCACGGTGTGTGGTTTTCCAATCTTGTTACCCCAGTATCCTCTTCTGACGGGAATGATGGACAATTTGGCCAGGATGATGGCACCACGAATAGCGGTTGCTACCTCTTTGGAGCACTTCACTCCCAGACCAACATGTCCATTGTAGTCACCAATAGCAACAAAGGCCTAGAAGATTGAGAAACTGAGTGATTAGGAACTTAAGAGAATTGATTTTTAATGAGACTAGTACCTAACACTCAGGAAGCAGGAAGTCACCTTAAACCTGGTGCGCTGACCAGCCCTGGTCTGTTTCTGGACAGGCATGATCTTCAGGACTTCATCTTTCAGTGCTGAACCCAGGAAGAAGTCAATGATCTCAGACTCCTACAGGAAAGAACCACATTTGAAGACTCACTTTGCATGGCACGGTGTGTGGTTTTCCGATCTTGTTACCCCAGTATCCTCTTCTGACGGGAATGATGGACAATTTGGCCAGGATGATGGCGCCACGGATAGCGGTTGCTACCTCTTTGGAGCACTTCACTCCCAGACCAACATGTCCATTGTAGTCACCAATAGCAACAAAGGCCTAGAAGATTGAGAAACTGAGTGATTAGGAACTTAAGAGAATTGATAAGGATTCTGACTAGTACCTAACACTCAGGAAGCAGGAAGTCACCTTAAACCTGGTGCGCTGACCAGCCCTGGTCTGTTTCTGGACAGGCATGATCTTCAGGACCTCGTCTTTCAGTGCTGAACCCAGGAAGAAGTCAATGATCTCAGACTCCTACAGGAAAGAAAAACAGTAGGTTTCACAAAAGGTAAAGCATTTGTCACTTTTTGCAACTCAAGTCACAGTGAAACAGAAGTAGAGACATCTCTTTTCTTTTGTATCGTGACATGCATCCAAGTTTAAAAGATCAACAAAAAAAAACAACAACGAGCAGGTAAAGGACTTGGTTCTATGCATCGGTACATTGAATTGTGGACCTTGGTTGTTATTTTTCACCTGAAGATCAAGTTATGACACTGAACATTACAGCTCCCCCCAAGTGAATTCTTCACTTTAAGATCTGTAACACATTCAGTATACCGTACTTTCAAATAAAGAGGATGAATTTCATGCTAACTTTAATACCTTGATGGGCAGAGAATATAGGTAAATCTCCTCCAGAGTCTTGATCTTCATGTCCTTCACCAGACGACCAAGTTTGGTCACGGGCACCCACTATATAAAACAGAAATATTGTCTATTGGTAAATGGAAACTGAAACTACAACTATACATCTCAATTGTTTTTGACAGCTACTTGCACTGCAAATAGAGAACATGCAGAAGAGTGAAAGAGCCAACATAACAGCACACAGTGTATATGAGAATGTATCTCTTATATAAAACATTACATAAAGCCAGTTCATAACACAGTCATAGCAAAGCAGGATTTAGGCGGTGCTTTACCTCCTTATCCTCAGATTTGCCTCCGCGGGCCCCGCGGCCTCTTCCACGGCCCCTGCCGCGACCACGACCGCGACCCCGGCCGCCAGTGCCGAAACCTCCGCGAAAACCTCCTCTACCACCGGCGTCGTCCGCCATTTGCTGTAAAACATGGAAACATTTCCGCGAATTAATAAACAAGTTAGTTTAAAGTCAGACACGTCAAGAAAAAATGCACATGTTCAAGAGCCCGACTAAAACCTACTTTTTATCGATTATTATTATTACTATCCAACTTTGACATTTCAGCCTTAGTGCGAATACTGTGTAATTAACATCAATCATATCATACGAGAATGTATTCAATGAATAAACGAGCGGTTTCACCGGTGCCCCGCCATGTTTGACACCATCCATTTAAAACTGCTCTAAAATAACGTATCTACACAATTCAAACGATTCATTCTGCGATCGCATTGTTAAATAAACCGTAGACAGATGTCTTCTACAAAAATGTCGCGTTTTTATTTTGTGATTGAGGAGATTTTAACAGATACTGCTTAAAAAAAAATGACAGACTTACGTGATGTGTATTCAGGAAGAAGAAGGCCGCACGAGAGTTCGCGTAGTATTTATTCCAGGGCAAGTATCGCGATATGTTGTCACAGTCGTGATATTGACGACCTCTTTCTCCATTTCGCATTATGAAATAGCAGTTAAAAAAAGAACAGCAGATCATTTATAGGTGTACACAGTAGAGCTTTTAGCAATTTTATTGGCATTACAGTGGTTGGAAGGAAATTAAAAGAACCAAAATGTAATCATAGCTTCTGACAGCTTATCTGCTCTATCACTAGATTCAATCTGGGAAAACATCATGTAGGCAAGATATCATATACCAGATATTCAACTTACTTTTAATCAGAGGCGGACAGTATCTAAGTACATTTACTTGAGTGCTGTACTTAAGTACACTTTTTGAGTATCTGTACTTTACTTGAGTATTATTTTTTCTGGGAACTTATGACTTTAACTTCACTACATTTGAAAGACAAATATTGTACTTTTCACTCCACTACATTTCTATCAAGGTCCTCGAAGTAGAAAGTCGTTACTCTGTAGCAGCTTTGAAAGTCAGTAGGTGATTTTTTTCTTCTCTAAAACGTGACTTTCTTTTTTTCAGACAGTTTATCAGTAATCACTCTTGGGGCTACATGAAGTGATTTCCCATCATTTTTTGAGCACTGACCAGCTGCAAATGTGATATTTATTTACAACAATTCAATAATAAGAAGTTAATATTGTGGCTAAATTGTGTATGTGAAAATATTACCTATAAAGCAACAGAAGAACTGTTGTGCATCTCCTAATAAAACACAAAAGGTGTTTGACTGAAGCAGCACTGCACAGACCATTCTGTGTATGACATCAAAGTACCGCGAGAGCGATTAGACAGCATTTTAAAAAAGTAATAACGCAGTAATAACACAGGAATAACAGTAATAATAGAAATTACTCGGGAATAACACATTAATAACACAGTAATAACACAGAAATAACACAGCAATAACAAAGTAATAACACAGGAATAACACAGAATTAACACAGAAATAACTCCATGCCAACAGAAGTAACTCAGGTATAA